CGGGTGATTTATTAGTTGAACAAGGCTCGTCAACTGCTAAAACCATTAGTCCCGTAAGTCCACTGCATGTTTTTTATCCTGGGAGGAGGCGGTAATCTTCGCCCGTTGGTGCGTGAGATCGAGCGCCGACCTACCAGGCGACTTGTGGGATTTTCCTCAACCAGAAAATATGAACACAAAAGAAATGACACTAACATTATATATACGATTTATATAACGAAATATGGTAAAGAAGTGGATTACACAACTACTTTATTGTGCAAAAACTAACAAATGCCAAAAAACTGCAACTAAAATATCTCATGAGTTCTTAAATTCGTAACATGAGTGATTACTGCATCGTCAACACGTCTTAATTGATTTATCTTGACAAATATACCATGTTAATTAATCCTGTTGATTTATTTATTTATTTATTTATTTATTACTAGTCAATCCGGGAGCGTCAACGGCTTACGTCATTAGTCCCGTAAGCGTAGTGCATTTCTTTTTCTCGGGAAGTGGCCCTGATCTTGCCCCGTTGGATGGCGAGATCCGGCGCTGACCTGACGTAGGCTAGCGAGGTTTTCTCAACCAGTTATCTCCCACCAGCGGGGCACTGCCCCAGACGGGACAAGTTCTAAGCTCCTGACAAGTGTGGTAATGTAGTGCCTGTAAGAGTTTGTGCAAGCAAGGGGTGAGGATAGGACAAGGAAAAGGAAGAAAAGATCGTGCGCGCCGGGGCCCGTTTCTTAGGGTACTGCTCCGGCATTTGTCTGATGTTGATCGAGGTGAATAATAGAAAACCATCAATCAAAGAAGCCAGACCCCAAAATGCTCCTCCAGACAGCGATTCAATTCAACCCAGTTGTCAAAGCGGCAACTCGACCACTTGCAATAAAAACCAATATTACTGCTTTGTAATAAACTATAAATTAAACGCGTGTTTTAGTTATTGATATCGATTCCATTTGCAAAGGTTTGGTGGTAATGTGAACCTAAAAGCAGATCTACAATCATTACAGATAGTAGATTTTAGCAATTGCTAAAATTGCGAAATGTTACAAAACGCTTGGGAAAAATTGTAATTGTATGTATCACGGTCAGTGCGGTATATTTCTGAAGGTTTCCAATCTGCGATAAAATACGAAATAACACACACAAAGTACGAAAGGGTCGTGAATCAATGATATAATTGCTAAATTGCATTTTATGGTTTCCGTCGTCTTGGCTCTAACTAGGGATGTGACATCGACAAGAATACATTAATGCTTGAAAACGTAGTTTCAGAGTGGTATTGTTATTTAATTTCTAATTGAGATTAAACGGACAAAAAATGTAAATATCCGCTAACCGGGTGAGGTGGGGGTGGGGCCTTGCGCTAAGTCATGGGCGGGGCCGGGGGTGAGGTCAGAGAGGGCCAGGGAGGTGCTGGGCTGGGAACGGGACTGGGGGTGGTACAGGGGGGTTGGACCTGGCACCTCTATTACGCGAGAAAGAGGAGACGAGGTGGCGGAGGGCTTCAGGTGCGTAGGAGCATTCGCACAGAAATTCTCACCCACTTACCCTGCCTCCACACTGGCACCTGCGACCGAGAACATAATCACATTATGCTGCTCGTGAAGCACAATCAAAGGGCACATTTTCACGTGTCTATAAACACTGAAACGGAAGTACGCCGGTCTCTGGATCAATTGCTTCAAGGGCCGAAATCAATTGCACGAGGCAGAGGGTGATGCTTATCTCGAAATGAACTTCTTAAATATTTCAGCGCGCCTTTTGAAAGAATACGATGAGAGAAATGTGGGACATCAGATATTGCAATTACACACCCGTCACATGTAGGTGCCCTCTCCCGCACCCTTAGCTCCTTCATTCTTCGCGAAATGTGTTTGTGATAGCCAGTAGCATGTCATCTCTTGTAATCGAGAGCTCTTGGTTAGTTTGATCTTAAGTAGCTTACTTCCATAATTATTAATTCGTGTTTTGATGGAGTACCTTTTTTCTACTTTAAAATATATCAGGTGTCAGCTGGGTCGGTGCGTCACTGGTGGGAGATATCTGGTTGGGGAAAATCCCCGCAAGCAGACGTAGGTCGGCGCCGGATCTCGCCATCCAACAAGATCGCTGCCATCTTCCGCGAAGAAAACATTCATTACACTTACTGGCAAATGACCTTGGCAATTGACGTGCCCGGAATCCATAATCAATCAATCAATCAATGAACGACAATTCAGAAACAATATCTATGCTAATCGTGTAAATGAGCGACCGTCCCTGACTTATTGTTAGCGCTGTCGCCGGGCGGGGCGAAGGGTCATAGCTGCAATGCCGCGCACGGATTAACGCGCCAACCGCTGCGGCCGCTCTATGGCCGTGCGAGGGGGGAAAGGGGCTGCGGTGGGCGGCGTGGCGCCGGCTGCACGGGTAATCCAGCCGGGTGGTCCGGTTCCCAACCCGGCGCCGCCCCACCGCATCGCGCCACACCGCACCGAGCCGGCTCTGTTTGCCCACCTGTCTCCCCCGATGTTGTGTCTGCGGATTAGCTTTCTCCCACTCCCACTCTCCCCTCTCCCTCTCCCCGACCCTACTGCAGCGGGGCGATTCGCTCATTGTTGCACTCCTCACAGTCCGTCCGTCAGTCAGATCTATGTACACAACTTAGCCACGTATGCCCAGCTCTCTTTCTTGTACCAGTTCCTTCGACGGGTACCTCCCATTTCTCTAAACCATTCATTCCCCTTTCTCTATTTATCTACCTGCTCATATGGCTCCAGGGTATCAACTGATGGCATGGCACTGCCTGTGACCGGGAGTTCCTAGGGTTTTAGAACCCACTCTGGCAGGATTTTCGACACTAGCTGTCTGGAGGACAATTCTAGCGGCCGGCTGCCGCGATCGGTAGTTTTACGCGGTTTCTCCGATCAACATTAGGCGAAAGCAGGTGCAGAAATCTAAAGAACGGACGTACTATCTTTCCTTCCTTTTCCTTGTCCTATCCACAACCCGTACATACACGCACTTACACTTTCATTTACTTGCAAAGCACTGCCACACATCTCGGGAGGCCATTCTGGATCTCGGAGCGTGTTCCAGCTAGGACGGGGCCCCGCCGGTGGGAGATACCTGGTTAGGAAATAATCCCACTAGCGAACGTGTATGTTACATCCACATCTCGCCATCCAGCGGGGAAAGATTCGCGCCACACCCTCAGTAAACCATGCACTTTACTTACGGGTCTAATGATCTTACCCAAAGATGCGCCCAGAAACACAAAATATAATCAATCAATAAATTTTCTGTCTTCCCCACCCTTGTCAATAAATTTTCTTCCTCTACACCCTTGACATCACTCGAGCTTCGTCCTCGTTCCCACATTTTCGTCACCGTCTTGTTTGTTCAACTTCTTCTAAGATGCATTTCATTCTTCCCCTCCTCCTCCCTCTCCCTCACGTCGTAATTCAAATTCAGTTATCAGATAAACAATTCCTCTTGGAACACCCTCGCCTCCGACCTTCGCGCCATCGCCTTTTCCCCCTATTTCTTCCCTAGAACATTCATTTCTTCCCTCCTTTATTTTCGTATCTTCAATACGTTCCACTGCCCTTGACCGTTCTCTATTGTCCCCGTCGCCTGTGGTATTCAGCCTTGCATACCTTCCACGTTCCTCTGGCTTGGAATCCGTCGTCTTTTCTGCTTTGCAGACCATCACATTTGTCACATACGGCGTCGACTACGTCACCCGCCCCCATAGGCCGCTCCCCGCTACACCGTAGGCTACAACGTTGTCACCTCTCTGCCACCCGCATCCCCACCCCCACTGCGCCTCGCATGTCGGCCGCACGCCTCGTTGGCCTTTGCGGCGGCGGCAGCAGCCCCTGCGAGGGCCGCGCTGGGGTGGCGTGCGGTGGCGCCGGGAGGGCGAGGCGTGTCCGAGGGCGGCGGAAGCGCCACGGAGTGTGTTTGCGGGTGTAGCACAGACGAGAAAATGTATAAGGACCCAGCACACAGCTGTGCTAATGTTAACAGTAATGACCGGCATAGGTGGCTCGACCCGCAGGGTGAGTCAGGACCCGGCAGGGTGTCAACTGATGTCACTGCATTGCCTCTGACCCGGAGGTCTTGTGGTTTGAGTCCCGACGGTGGAGGGAGATTCGACACCAGCTTGTCAGCTAGGTCGACTCCTGTCTCTGTCTTGAGGAGAATTCTACCGGCCGGCTGCTCTGATTGGTAGTTTTCCGTGGTTTTTCCTATCAATACCAGGCGAATGTCAGAGCAGTTCCCTAACAAACGGGCCACGGAACGCTCCCGATTTATCCTTCCAATTCCTTGTCCTATCCTAACTCTTTACACACACTTACAAGCACAAATGACGGGAGACTGGTCGGGAACTTAGAGCTTGTCTGGCCTGGGGCGGTGCCCCGTTGGTGGGAGATACCTCGATGAGAAAACCTCGCTAGCCTACGTCGGATCTCGTCATCCAACGGGGCAAGATCAGTGCCACTTCCCGAGCAAAAAATTGCACTACGCTTACGGGACCAATGGCTTTAGCCGTTGACGTTCCCGGATTCACTAGTAATCAATCAATCAATCAATAGATCGAGCAATCAATCGATTGATCAATGAATTAACATGATTAATTAACATGGAATATCTGTCAAGATAAATCAAGTAAGACGTGTTGACGATTCAGCAATCACCCATGTTACAAATTTAAGAACTCTTGCGGTATTTCAGTTGCATTTTTTAGCATTTGTTAGTTTTCGTGCAATAAAGTAGTTGTGTAATCCACTTTTTTCCCATATTTCATTATATAAATCATATATATAATGTTAGTATCATTCCTTTTATTTTCATATTTTCTGAGGGAATTGATATTTCATTGTTTTTATTCACTCTTAAGAATTGCATGATTTAGTTTGTGATGATTACACTAAAGACTGTGCCGCAACCAGAATTATCATTTAAGGAAGAGGACAGGTGTAGTGCCTAGCAGACTTATTTTCTTATCTAAAAATAGTGTTAAACATAAATTTCATTGGTTAATTTATTATTTACAATGCAATTAAGCTGAATATTGAAGAACTTTCGTTATTGAAAATATTAGTAGTATATAGTTAAAACTGTACCTGTGTGTTTGTCATCAACTTCTGGAAGGGGAAGTGAGGCTGAAGACCAATAAGCTTCCCCTTCTCGTGTTTAGTACAGCGTCAACTATATATTACTAATGAATTATAACCTCCTGAGACAAGAAATAAACCAAGTACATATCAACTGAACTTTTCCCGCCGTTGCCCTTCTATCTAGATTTCGTGTTCAAAACATATTTAATTTTTTTAATGTTTGCAAGTCCATAAATAAAATTGCTCTTTCTTTGTTCAGTTTGTGAAAGAGAAGGGGGAGTTGTAAGATTACGCGTTTTTTATGACTAAGCACATGCAAGCCTTACTTTTCGAGTGAACAGCTTCTCCCAAAAGTGCTGTTTTATAGATAGATGATAACAATAAAGACATGTAAGACTCAAATCTAGAATGTTAGTTTAATCGAGAATAAGTCAGAAAGAGTTCAAAAAGTTTAGAACAAAAAATAATATTTTTCTTACTATAGTCTTACAAGTATATGTTTAGAAACATAAATCCATTACTCAAGGAGCGTCGAAACGTGTTGTTCTGTTAAAACTCTGATCCGATCATACCATTATATACTTATTTTAAAAGTAAATGAACTGTTCCATTGTTATGCAAACTTGTGCGTTTTTAAGGTTTCAATTATCTTTTTTCGGTCTTTAACTGAGTTGGTAAGGATTTATTTCTTGATTTGATGAATTCATCAAGACCCAAGATTAATAATTACTTGCTTGTTTAATATTAACTATACTTGAATTTTAAAGAAACAGGCAAAAATGAGTTGCTAGAGTAAATGTCTTCGTGACCAATGAAGATATTTTTGTATTTTATTGCAATTTAAAAAACTATTGAAACATATTTATATTATATTTATATGTCATTTCTCTTAATACAACAATAGAAATGGTGTTTCTACAATTTTTATTCATCTATAAATATTTAAAACAGAAAAATTAGTAAACACGTTTATATCAAAATTAATTTTCATTTGGTCTAAAAACAATGGATTATGAAAGAATGACCAATAAGAATGAAAATATCAAATCTATTAATAATTTTAAAAGTTATATATTTCTAATATATAAGTAATAGGAAAATATCGGAAACACTTTAAATTTGGAAATAAAATAAAAATATGCCTAGTAAACATTTTATTCACAGAACGCAAACGACATTTTCAAAAATAATTAGAAGATCGCTCAGATCCAAAATAATAGGTGAAACTTCTCCTCACGAAAGACACCTCTCTTGGAAAACTAGTTTCCTCTGCCGTGTGAAGCATAACATTAGTTTCCGAGCGGCGAAATTCCGCTCGTTGAGTCAGTCTGCGAGGACTAACAGTTGACGCCGGCGAGCAGCGTTGGCACGGCGCCCCGCACGATGTTGACGGTGTTGTTGACGTTGGGCCGGAAGGTGCCTGTGAAGAGGAGCTGGGCGTTGTTGGAGATGGCCCACACCTCCTCCGGCCTGCTCTTGCCGGTGCCGGGGATCACCTTCAGCCCCGTGACGAAGCGCAGCACCTCGCGGTCCTGCTCCACCGCCGGCAGGTTGGGGCTGAAGGCAACGGGCAGCGCGTGAGAAACGTTTACTAGCTAGGTACAGAGGGCGTAGTGAGGTACGTAGTGAGGTACGTAGCTAGGTACGTAGTGAGGTACGTAGCTAGGTACGTAGTGAGGTACGTAACTAGGTACGTAGTGAGGTACGTAGCTAGGTACGTAGTGAGGTACGTATCTAGGTACGTAGTGAGGGTACGTATGTAGGTACGTAGTGAGGTACGTAACTAGGTACGTATTGAGGTACGTAGCTAGGTACGTAATGAGGTACGTAGCTAGGTACGTAGTGAGGTACGTAGCTAGGTGCGTAGTGAGGTACGTAGGGTGTAATACGTTAGGTGACGTAGTCAAAAAGAGATATTATAATAAAAAGTTTTATTAATATTAAAAACAATCGCCCAGTTGATAATTTTAAGATTAAGGTTTACTAATCATTTTATGATGTAGATAATACTATATTATCCCAGTTTAGTACTCTTCTATAATATAAAATTGTCTACAACGATAAGATTGGCTTGGTAGTTACACTAATGTAAGTGCTCTAAAATGGCTTTTAATCGTTCAAGTGCTATATCGTAATATTGCAGCACTAGTTGCATAATAACTTCTTAACGAATATACATTGTCCCCGAGCTAAAGAAGAGGAGGTGATCGACGTGGATTACAAAGTGAATGATTTTGATACATCATTATGAAACGTGTTTCTAATTCTACGGAGATGCTGTTTGAAATTAATATCACTGTAGTTTTGCAAGATAAATAATGGAAAGTTCCACGATATCCTCTGATAATTTTGCAAAAAATGTAAAGTAAATGATGTTTTTATTTTTAAAGGTTTCTAAATAATCAATTCTTTCGTTATATTTATATTACTAAAGTGGGTAAATTCCATGGAGATAGACATGCCAGAAATTTGTATTCAGAATCTGAATGTAAAATATCAATTCTAACGTGAGACAATCTAAGAATTTTTACATAATCTCGTTCATATAATTGAACTACTTGTGTTTTAGATCGCTATATTCCTTTCTTAAAAATTTAACACCACAGAAATTCTTTAAGTAACAATCAACTTACAGTTTTAAGAGAGACGAGGGGATTTACACAATAAATAGTATAATAGAAGATATAAATAGTAAATATCGATTTAGAAGTACTAACCTGGCGTAATTCCTGCGTTGATTCCAGCAGTTGATAGAGTATTTATTGACAGGATTGAAAAATAATACTCCAGAGGAGCTCGAACCCTGAGCACCAGACTATGAAATAGACAGAACAAGAATATACTTTTAGTTTTGAGAATTATGAGTTAGTTTTATAGGTTCTTAATACTTCGACTTGCCTAATCAGTCTGTGTCATCCTAACTCACAATTGGTCTTTACAATGACAAATGTCAAAAACGTGCATATGATAGATAAATAGATTACAAAGTTTTATAATCCAATATCTCGTTGCTCTTCGTGAGATAATTTCAACATAAGGGTAGCTCACAAAGCTGATATTACAATCTTAATATAACGCTAAATTCTAATACAAATATAGTCACACTGTTGTTAATAAATACCATTTTCACAGATAACAATTGTTATGTTTAATCACGCGTTTTTTGTGGGGATGTCGTATCTCAAATGATATTTCCGATCACCACTAAGCGATACATCAAAGTACCTCTTTCCTTTCCTAAAGCAAACTCCCAATTTACTAGAAAAACTCATCAAAACGTCGAAGAAATTAAGCGTGAAGGCTTTGATCAAGTCAGTAGAAAATTCTTTTGACAGATTCTCAAACAGTTGAGTACCCTTAAAGATGACATTGCTCTGCCATAGGCATATTGTCGAAATAATATTTCTGTCTTCTTGACAGCTGAGTGTAGGATAGAGATATTTTGCCACATACTCGAGCGGCAGTAGCAAAAAACGCAGCAGTAGAAGCATTAGCAGAGCACAAATGCAGTGGCAGTACTGCTAAAACAGCAACATTAGTAAGAAACAAGTCGCAATGAGAGCATACAACAGTTGATGTCACAGAACAGCACACACGACGTATAACCATCAAGTAATGGTGCTCTTCAATATTAAGTTACTTCGCGTTGTAAGATGTAATTTTTCGCTTAATAAGCATTTGCAACTCTGCTGTGGCATGATAATTTGAAGCCTCTGATTGGATAAATGAACCCTTTCTCTCCTGTCAGCTGCTAGCTGTCAAGTACACAGAAATATTATTCGGACAATAGGCGTGTGCATACGGGGACAGGGGGCGAGGCTCCCCAGTGAATATTTTGAAAGGGGTCCCATAGCCGAATGTGATTAAACATTTTATTTTCAAAAGTATTGTAAGTTTCTGTTGTTTAAGACGTACTGAACGTATAGGTACATTTTAAAATTTAAAGGGAGGACAAACGAGAAGATACTTTAGTCTTTTAATTTACTGTTGCTGTGTCTATGTTTGATTAAGAGTAATTTCCTTTATTACTAAGAGATACACAATTTTAAAAAAATCGTAAAGTCACCATTCTTTGTGCGGTAGTTAACTCCTCCTGAACCCCTACTTTTCAATCAAATTAAAATTAATGTTTGTAGCCAATCACGCATCGTTTACTGTGGATGTTCTATTTCAAATTTCAAAGTACTTCTTTCCATTCCGAAATTAAAATTAAGTTTTGGTTTATTTAAGAAGTTTTAATTATTTGCAAAAACAGTAAATACCAAAAGTTTCAAATAATTTTAAATTTTGAATGTATTTTATATGTACGATTACGTAGATTTCAATTTTGAAAATATGTTACTTGAAACCGTGTCTGAACATTTGTAATTTGCCTGTAGTATTAACGAATTAATTTCAGTTCACCGAGAAAATTGTCAAATTATATTAAGTCGGTTTTTACATTAAGTTATTTTATAAAATTTATGAAGTCATATTAAATATAATACCTAAAAATGTGGAATGGAGAATGAGAAAAAATCGCAAATGTTTCAAAAACTATTAAAACGAGTGATCCTACAAAGCTAATGCATTCTCGCATTATTTCTAAATTTGCAGTATTCGAATGTTTAGAAAGTTTAACTAAAATGAAACGCGCACCATTGTTTTAAGCGTCTCTCCCATCCGTGGAAAAAAAATTGGCTTCAGATTCGGAATCAGCGCGTCCACATACATAAACACAAGACCTTGGGGCTGACACCTTTCTTTTATGTCTGTCTACGTAATTTTACGAGAAAAAGGCGACATCTTTGAATCTTTAGTATCGTATTGCGATACTAACAAAATTAATTTTATTTTATAATATTAATTACTACATAATATATCTTCTAAATAATTAATATATGTAAATCATTCTCCACGCAAATGAAAAAGCAAGAATGACACTTTACTTCTCATATTTCAATACACGGATCAATTAAATAATATATATATATATATATATATATATATATAT